TAGCAAAAATTCACAAAAAAAGCAGAGAAAATAGGAGATGACTACATTCTTTTCAGGGCAATGATCATATTTGGTTCCTTTAAAGTGATCATATTTCCTTTAAAGTGATCATATTTGGTACCTTTAAAGTGATCATATTTTTGCCTTTAAAGTGATCATATTTGGTGCCTTTAAAGTGATCATATTTGGTGCCTTTAAAGTGATCATGGTGCCTTTAAGTGATCATATTTGGTGCCTTTAAAGTGATCATTTTTGGTGCCTTTAAAGTGATCATATTTGGTGCCTTTAAAGTGATCATATTTGGTACCTTTAAAGTGATCATATTTGGTGCCTTTAAAGTGATCATATTTGGTGCCTTTAAAGTGATCATATTTGGTGCCTTTAAAGTGATCATATTTGGTACCTTTAAAGTGATCATATTTGGTGCCTTTAAAGTGATCATATTTTGGTGCCTTTAAAGTGATCATATTTGGTTTTAAAGTGATCATATTTTTTTAAAGTGATCATATTTGGTGCCTTTAAAGTGATCATATTTGGTGCCTTTAAAGTGATCATATCCTTTAAAGTGATCATATTTGGTGCCTTTAAAGTGATCATATTTGGTGCCTTTAAAGTGATCATATTGGTTCCTTTAAAGTGATCATATTTGGTTTTAAAGTCACCTTTAAAGTGATCATATTTGGTGCCTTTAAAGTGATCATATTTGGTGCTTTAAAGTGATCATATTTGGTCCTTTAAAGTGATCATATTTGTGCCTTTAAAGTGATCCTTAAAGTGATCATATTTGTGCCTTTAAAATCATATTTGCCTTTAAAGTGATCATATTTGGTGCCTTTAAAGTGATCATATTTGGTGCCTTTAAAGTGATCATATTTGGTGCCTTTAAAGTGAGGTGCCTTTAAAGTGATCATATATGATCATATTTGGTGCCTTTAAAGTGATCATATTTGGTGCCTTTAAAGTGATCATATTTGGTGCCTTTAAAGTGATCATATTTCCTTTAAAGTGATGGTGGATCATATTTGGTACCTTTAAAGTGATCATATTTGTTTTAAAGTGATCATATTTGGTGCCTTTAAAGTGATCATATTTGGTACCTTTAAAGTGATCATATCCTTTAAAGTGATCATATTTGGTGCCTTTAAAGTGATCATATTTGGTCTTTAAAGTGATCATATTTGGTGCCTTTAAAGTGATCATATTTGGTGCCCATACCTTTAAAGTGATCATATTTGGTTCCTTTAAAGTGATCATATTTGGTGCCTTTAAAGTGATCATATTTGGTGCAAAGTGATCATATTTGGTGCCTTTAAAGTGATCATATTTGGTGCCTTTAAAGTGATCATATTTGGCACCTTTAAAGTGATCATATTTGGTGCCTTTAAAGTGATCATATTTGGTGCCTTTAAAGTGATCATATTTGGTTCCTTTAAAGTGATCATTTGGTATTTAAAGTGATCATATTTGGTAAAAAGTGATCATATTTGTGCCTTTAAAGTGATCATATTTGGTGCCTTTAAAGTGATCATATTTGGTACCTTTAAAGTGATCATATTTGGTAAAGTGATCCCTTTAAAGTGATCATATTTTGGTGCCTTTAAAGTGATCATATTTGGTGCCTTTAAAGTGATCATATTTGGTGCCTTTAAAGTGATCATATTTGGTGCCTTTAAAGTGATCATATTTGGTTCCTTTAAAGTGATCATATTTGGTGCCTTTAAAGTGATCATATTTGCCTTTAAAGTGATCATATTTGGTTCCTTTAAAGTGATCATATTTGTTTTAAAGTGATCATATTTTGGTGCCTTTAAAGTGATCATATTTGGTGCCTTTAAAGTGATCATATTTGGTGCCTTTAAAGTGATCATATTGGTGCTTTTAAAGTGATCATATTTGGTGCCTTTAAAGTGATCATATTTGGTACTTTAAAGTGATCATATTTGGTGCCTTTAAAGTGATCATATTTGGTTTTAAAGTGATCATATTTGGTGCCTTTAAAGTGATCATATTTGGTTTTAAAGTCCTTTAAAGTGGTGCCTTTAAAGGATCATATTTGGTCCATTTAAAAGTGATCATATTTGGTGCCTTTAAAGTGATCATATTGGTGTTTTTAAAAGTGAACCCTTTAAAGTGATCATATTTGCCTTTAAAGTGATCATATTTTGGTGCCTTTAAAGTGATCATATTTGGTTTTAAAGTGATCATATTTGAAAGTGATCATATTTGGTGCCTTTAAAGTGATCATATTTGGTACCTTTAAAGTGATCATATTTGGTTCCTTTAAAGTGATCATATTTGGTGCCTTTAAAGTGATCATATTTGGTGCCTTTAAAGTGATCATATTTGGTAAAAGTGATCATATTTGGTGGCCTTTAAAGTGATCATATTTGCCTTTAAAGTGATCATATTTGGTGCTTTAAAGTGATCATATTTGGTGCCTTTAAAGTGATCATATTTGGTCCTTTAAAGTGTCATATTTGGTGCCTTTAAAGTGATCATATTGGTCCTTTAAAGTGATCATATTTGGTGCCTTTAAAGTGATCATATTTGGTGTGATCATATTCCTTTAAAGTGATCATATTTGGTGCCTTTAAAGTGATCATATTTGTGCCTTTAAAGTGATCATATTTGGTACCTTTAAAGTGATCATATTTGGTGCCTTTAAAGTGATCATATTGGTGCCTTTAAAGTGATCATATTGGTCCTTTAAAGTGATCATATTTGGTACCTTTAAAGTGATCATATTTGGTGCCTTTAAAGTGATCATATTTGGTTCCTTTAAAGTGATCATATTTGGTTCCTTTAAAGTGATCCTTTAAAGTGATCATATTTGGTGCCTTTAAAGTGATCATATTTGGTGCCTTTAAAGTGATCATATTTGGTACCTTTAAAGTGATCATATTTGGTGCCTTTAAAGTGATCATATTTGGTGCCTTTAAAGTGATCATATTTGGTCCTTAAAGTGATCTTTAAAGTGATCATATTTGGTCCTTTAAAGTGATCATATTTGGTACCTTTAAAGTGATCATATTTGGTACCTTTAAAGTGATGGTGCCTTTAAAGTGATCATATTTGGTTCCTTTAAAGGGATCATATTTGGTGCCTTTAAAGTGATCATATTTGGTGCCTTTAAAGTGATCATATTTGCCTTTAAAGGGTGCCTTTAAAGTGATCATATTTGGTGCCTTTAAAGTGATCATAAATCATATTGGTGCTTTAAAGTGATCATATTTGGTACCTTCAATCATATTTGGTTCCTTTAAAGTGATCATATTTGGTTCCTTTAAAGTGATCATATTTGGTGCCTTTAAAGTGATCATATTTGGTTCCTTTAAAGTGATCATATTTGGTTTTAACCCTTTAAAGTGATCATATTTGGTGCCTTTAAAAGTGATCATATTTGGTACCTTTAAAGTGATCACCTTTAAAGTGATCATATTTGGTGCCTTTAAAGTGATCATATAAAGTCATATTTGGTGCCTTTAAAGTGATCATATTTGGTGCCTTTAAAGTGATCATATTTGGTTCCTTTAAAGTGATCATATTTGGTACCTTTAGTGATCATATTTGGTACCTTTAAAGTGATCATATTTTTTTAAAGTGATCATATTTGGTGCCTTTAAAGTGATCATATTTGGTTCCTTTAAAGTGATCATATTTGGTGTTTAAAGTGATCATATTTGGTGCCTTTAAAGTGATCATATTTGGTGCCTTTAAAGTGATCATATTTGGTTCCTTTAAAGTGATCATATTTGGTGCCTTTAAAGTGATCATATTTGGTGCCTTTAAAGTGGGTGCTTTAAAGTGATCATATTTGAAAGTGATCATATTTGGTGCCTTTAAAGTGATCATATTTGGTTCCTTTAAAGTGATCATATTTGGTGCCTTTAAAGTGATCATATTTGGTGCCTTTAAAGTGATCATATTTGGTGCCTTTAAAGTGATCATATTTGGTGCCTTTAAAGTGATCATATTTGGTTCTTTAAAGTGATCATATTTGGTTCCTTTAAAGTGATCATATTTGGTGCCTTTAAAGTGATCATATTTGGTTTAAAGTGATCATATTTGGTACCTTTTAAAGTGATCATATTGGTGCCTTTAAAGTGATCATATTTGGTGCCTTTAAAGTGATCATATTTGGTACCTTTAAAGTATCATATTTGGTGCCTTTAAAGTGATCATATTTGGCACCTTTAAAGTGATCATATTTGGTGCCTTTAAAGTGATCATATTTGAAGTGATCATATTTGGTTCCTTTAAAGTGATCATATTTGGCCTTTAAAGCCTCCTTTAAAGTATATTGGTACCTTTAAAGGGATCTTTAAG